AAATGGTTTTATTGTTTTTAAAATTGTGAAATCCGACCGTGAATGGGAAAAAGGGATTGAGAGACGATTCATGGGGGACACTTCTAGCGGAACAATTTTCTGTCAAAAAATCGAATTTTCAGCTGTCGACCAAAAACTCTCTAATTCCCTAAAGAATAAGTTTCAAGTGGTTTCGTTCATTTCAGCGCCAATGGAGAGCGTAAAAATGCTTCAGAGTGGATACGGCAATTTTATGCCCTAAACTTGGCTAAAATATTTTTTCCCCCTCGAAACTGCGTCTTTTGAGCTATAAACTTCAAACGACCCTAACTTCATGTTCAAATCGACATTTTTAGCTTTTTTGTCCTAGAATACTCCATGCTCATAAATAACTCCTAAATTCATCCCTGGTGCCGAATTTTGTCGCCTCTTTCAATCGGAGATGCAACATCCATCGATGAGTCCAAACCCCACAACCGGCCAATCAGGAGCGCTAAGCCGGACTTAGGCGCAGCCGAGACTCGTCTTAAATATATTTAAGTACGGTGAAAGGACCGACCGATTTCGGCCCCTGCTTTTAGTCTCAGTAACTTTCCTATAAGTTTTTCGATACTAAGATTCGTTGTCCCGAGAACAATCACATTTTTCTCTAGCAATGCTCACAAAGACATTCGACTGCGAATCGCACCGAAACTATACTCGGTACGATGACGTCACTCCCCACCCCCAGGCCCCGGCGTGCAGCCGGATCGGCCATATGCGGGGCGTAATCTAATAAGATAACTCATTTTCCGTGTCGATTTTCAGCGTATAATTTTTTCCCTCCCCGCTCGGCGCGGTCTCCAACAGTTATTTTCAATATTATTATAAACTAAAGGGGGTGTTCCCGGGCCGGGGCGAGGGGCGAGACGGCGGGCCCGGAGCTACCCCCGACTAAATAAAATATTACCGCGCTCCCCTCGATGTTTAAAAACAGGGGTTAATATCCCCTTTCGCCGAGGCCGAGCCCTCCCTTCGACTCCCTCCCCCCTCCCCCCTCGCCCCTCCCGCGGCTCCGCGCCCTCCGAGGGTCCCCTGTTCTTGCCCCAGCGGCCATCCGGGTGGAGTGGAACCAAGTTTCAAGCTCGCTCGATACTAAAATCAACGGCTCCCCTGCAGTCCCTCCCTCTGTTGCCAAATTTTCACTTGGAAGAACCGTAGAAAAACGTAAGCATCAAGAAAAAGTTCAGGGGTACTAACATGGTAAGGCCTTGTCTCCACGAGCCGTTTCACGAGATTTGTCCCAGGGAAAAATCCCACTTACAAAGTTGGGAAAAATATTAAGTTAATCAATATTTTTCCCAGTACCAAGTATGGTACTTGTACCCCTACGACCCACTGAGAGAAGAAGAAGAAGTGAAAACGAATTGTGCGATATTTTATTCATTACTACATTGTTAATGTTTGTTTAGTTAAAATAATGTGTCTAATTGTCAATTGAGTGCAATTATTATTTTAATCCCGGTTAAATACTCGACTTTAACTAATTTATCTTCCCGCGCAAACTAGTCGCAGGACTGTATGAGCCCCGTCCCGTGGAGACGGTAACTGGGAAAAATCCCAGAAGTTTCATTCATGCGATTCGAACTTGGGGCAAATCCCATGAAAACGTCCCGTGGAGACAAGGCCTAAGGGATGAAAAACGAGCGTAGTGGAGTCTCGGTTATCCTTGGTGATCAGCATTGCAGCAGTGACGAGGTGCGAATGAGAAACTATGGCCAGGAATCAATTATTAAGGTATTCGTTGCGAACTCTTCGTGTATCGATCCTTTTCTATGAGCTTAAATGGCAGATCAATCGATAAATCGCAAAGCACGTCACCTAGAAAAGCGTGCTCCTGTAGTCTCTCCCTCTGTTGCCTGACTTTCACTTGGAAGAACCGTAGAAAAACCTAAGCATCAGGAAAAAGCTCAGGGCCGTTTACATAGTAAGGGTGGAAAAACGAGCGTAGTTCTATATTTCCCCATTTGGAACTATTGTAATGAATCAATTATTGAGGTGTTCGCTGCGAACACCCTGTATATCGATCCTTTTCCATAGTTTTAAATGGCATACTGGTCTAGTGCGGAAGTGAACTGCTGGGTAAAGAATCATCACTCTAGGACTGCCTTGACGTATAGATAGTACAGAATCTGTACCCCCGAGTCAAGTTCTCATTTTATCCGTGTTCGCCTTCAATTTTGGAGGTAGGCCAGTTAGTATACTAAAAAAATCGGGACTGCCATCTCTCGACATTGCCATATTGCAACATTGCCATTTTCTAACCAAAATATTGGAGGATGCTGGATCAGTATGCGACGTTGGGAGGTATGGAGTTTGCACAATCACTTTCATCTTTTCGCCTTCAATTTTGGAGGTAGGCCAAAAGCCATCCTACTCTGACAGTTAAAAAAACACGTAATACAACATTGCCGTTTTCTAACTAAAATATTGAAGAGAGCTGGATCAGTATGAGAAACAAGGAGGTAGGTATGGAGATTGCACAATCCCCTTTTCCACACCACCTTTAATTTTGAAGGTAGGCCAAAAAGCATCCTATTGTCATAATAGTCATCTATTCGAAGTTGATCACCTGCGTTCATATCGAAATCAAATCACTCTGAGCAACGGATCCATTTTTGAGGAGGTTGACGCTATGGGTGCATACTCCTTCATATTAGAATCCAGACTGCCCTGGTAAAAATTGGCAGTAGAATCTGTGTTCCAAAATACCATAGACTTACAGCCGGCTGTAAGATTTCCAATAGCTTCTATAGCCGGCAACACAATTTCTTATAGCCTTTTATATCCGATGGCGATTAAGAAACAGCCTGACGATAAAGTGTATGCTATCCGTTACTGATTATGGATGCTAGGACTTAGTGAGTTTTTGGACTACCGCTCTCTTTTTGGGCCGTAGTATCTTGATTTATTTTGCGAGGAAAGCTCCGTACTTTTGAAGGATGCCTGCCATTCCTAATATGTTGGAGCGCCTTCAATTTCGTACGATACTGTGCAATACCTCTGGTGTGAAAAAGTTGCTTCAAGCGCCGTGGTACGCTGCGGCGCAGCGCGGCGGGCGGGCAGCCAGCTCGAAACGCGCATTGGCGCCTACAAACCTAACTAGGGATACTTCACGCATTGCGCGATGCTTGAAGTATCCCTGTTAGGTTTGTAGGCGCCAGTGCGCCGCCGCTCCGCTTCGTGTTAGGCTCTAATATTTAATCTCGTGGAGTCAGTGTTTTCAACTCATGACTTTGAAATGTTTGCACACTCTGTATGGATTATTCTCATTTTAATTGATGAAAAAAATATGTATTGAAGGAAAATATAATGTGCGTTTTGTAAATATTAAGGTGATACCGTACAAACTTAAGGATTTACAAAGTACACGAATTTCTACACAATTTATTATAGCCTTTTATAGCCGATGGCGAAAAAGCAACAGCCAGGCGATAAAGTGTAAAGCCCGGCGATAGGAATTATAGCCCGGCTGTATAATTTTTTATCGCTTCGTGTAGCCCGGTCGTATGATTTTTTCCACTTTCTACAGCCAGCTATATGATTTTCTATCGCCTTCTTCAGTCGGCTGTAAGAACTCCTATGATATTTTGAAACGCAGCTCCTATCGCCAATTTTCACCAGGGTGCTGCGTTTTATTACTGTTGTAAGAAAAACAAATGAATGCCATTGTCTGATATTTTCCCAGAATATTTTGCTCAGTATACGGAAAAAGGATTAAAAATTTCATACCATTAGGACCGAATGAATTTGTCTTCTTCTAAAATGATCGAAACCAAAAATTTCGACTCATTTCGAAGGAATCGCTTTTTTAACGACCCCAATTTCTGACAGTATGATCGGTGGAAACATTGCAAGAAATTGAAATTGGGTAACATTTTTTTGAACTTGCTAATCCAGCCCTGTCCTGCCTTTAGTCAAAAACAAAAGACGAAAAAGAGGATGACGGATTTTTTTGTATCACTCCAGTCATTCAACAAATAATTTTGCCTAGGGTCCGGCAAATACAAGCACCGTTTAGCGTTTACAATCATATCCACCGTAAAACTTTTGGGGGAAAAGACGGACACAATGAACATGAGATGGATAAAAGATTGAATTTTTAAATAAAAAAATAAATGAAATAAATAAATACATTCATAAAAAGATAAATTAAAATGAAAAAGAGGGAGGAAAAAGAATCCTACATTTTAAGCACGAAGTGGATGGACGAACGTTGCCAATGGTCGTCTGGTCGATGGCCAGTAATGCGTGGGATGAGGAATCTCACCTAGCGACAGAGCACAGGGAAGAATTTCATGAGCCGCCCTGCGCCGCGCCGTCCGCAGCGCGCATGGCGCACGACCTGCCTTTATTCATTAGCGTCGAGAGTTCACTTATTACTTCACACGTCCAGTGTGTTATTTTGAAAGTTGAAAATTAAAAAAAAAAAAATTACACGACATACGATTTTCTCGGCCAGGGATAGCTCTCCCTGCAATCGTTCACCGCCCGCCCGCTTCGGGAGCGCGGCGGCCGGCGGCGCGAAACGCGCACTGACGCCTACAAACCTAAGGGGCTACTTCACGCATTGCGCAATGCTTGAAGTATCCCTTTAGGTTTGTAGGCGTCAGTGTGCATTTCGAGCTTGCAGCGTGCCATAAACTTGCCTGGTGTTAAAATGTTGGCAATTTGACATCAAATTCGAAATTAGCGACTCGAAAAAACATCAACTACGAAACTTTCGTTATCTTTCAGTTATTATCCGACTCATTTCTTCCTATCCTTGAGTTTTGGACCATAGTGCGCCGCGGGCGGCGGCGCTCATGAAATTCTCCTCTGTGCTCAGTCGCTCACCTGGTGTAAAATAAGTATTTTGAAATTCCCGCCGTTTATCCCCCAGCGATTTCCTGTATCATTTCCTTTTCCGGTTCGGTCGATTCCATTTATTCCTATCATTTGAAATGAAGAAATAAATTAGGAATGAACCATAATATCGTTCCATTTCCTCAACGTTCCCCTTTGATTTCATTTACATGCGAAAGACGTGCGCCGTGAAACCTAATTTTAATTTGTGGGTAATTTTTAAGTTTTAATCATTAGATAGTTACTTCAAGTCGGAAAATACACAATATGGCTCAAGGTAAAATTAACGATCTCGCTGGCAAATTTTCCAAAGGCCCTGTCAAAGGTCTAGGTGTGTTCGCTGCTTTCGCCGGAGCCGCCGCTCTTGGGATCAGTCAATCCATGTTCACCGGTAATTTTCTTTTTTCTCGCCGATCATTTACTAGTCTAGTCCCTGATAACCAGACTTTGCTCACCCTCCCAACTCATTAGTCATTGTCTTTGCATTTCCATTAAAAGCTCACGAAATTACTTGAGATCATTCTGTTACCTAACCTAACCTATGTACATTGAAAGCACAGCATGGAGTTCATGGAGCCAGACTCGAGTTTTATATTACGGCCCTTTTCACATATAATCTAATTGCCACTACTATGAATTCTATATCGGCCAATCCTTTGGCAATGCACACATTTGCACCTCTCTCGCTTTCACAACTTTAGCATTCAACGTTGATCGGATACAGATTTGATGAATGTGAGAGGCATAAGTATAGGCCGATTCTCATTGCGTCTCCCGAAGCATATCATTGCATCAGACTGAAGTGTTTGCTGAATTATCCACATTTTGATTGCAGTTCCAAATACCTCTTTCAAGGTGGGATGTAATTTTCTGCTAATTCCACTATTGCATCATTTTCACCAACTAAGATGACTGAGCAATCTTGCCGTAAGTCTTTAGGGTAACCCAAGATGAACAATATAACCAGCACTTCTGTTTGACAGCATCTAATTTTGGCCCATTATGAATTGCATCAAAATTCTTATCAGCTGCTTTGGATAAGTGAGTGGCATCTTAATTGTGCAAAGTAGGTTCTTGTTCTTTAGTTTTTCCAGCAAATGCGGCTGAATTTATTCCTAAATGAAAAGCTGAGCTAAAATCCACACAATATCTGCAGTTTGTGCAAGCTGTATTCTGAGAGGTACTTTGCAAAAACAGCCAGAGCTCACTCATTGTATGCACCTAAGTACAATATTCGTATTAAAACTTATCAATGGTGCCATCAAAATGCTTGTATCAGCCTTTCAAGTGACATCGATTTAACAGTGATCAGAAATCGTCCTTAGTCTCAACGGACGATGTATGAGATCTTACTTCTGTTCAATTTACTCTATTATTGCTACTTTTTTTCTTGTCTTCATAGCCAGTAAAATTGGATAATTCTTATTTCTCTCTTCTCAGTTGAGGGTGGTCACCGTGCTATCATATTCAGCAGGCTAGGTGGGATTCAGAAAGAAGTATACGCCGAAGGATTGCATTTCCGACTACCATGGTTCCAATATCCAATTATATACGATATCAGGTAATTTTTCTCCCTCCTCTCTTTTCACATTTCTTGGTAAACAAAATATTGCTTTGAGCCAGGACCTCTAAATTTTCACTGGATTCGCTACAACGGACCCAAATTAAGAATCTTATCCCACGTTGGTTACCATTTGAAGCTGTTGCTTCCTTTCTGTTGATTGGAAAGTATGTCATTAAGGCTTATTGTTAAAGACTACTAAATCATGATTCAATTGATTGCACACAATAATGAAATTGTCTGCTTAGTCCAAATATTATTTCTATTCACAATATTTTTTTAACATTTTGGATTACAAATTGATGCTTAATCTTTTTCTAGGTATCAATTTGGCAAATATTTTAGTCACTCAAATTGATTGAAAGGTACGATTTTGTGGTCAATTTATCGAATCTCCTCTTTGAAGTTATTCTATAGAAAAGTTAACCTTACACAATTGTTCAACACAATTTAGAAGAACTTGATAAAATTCCTCCATTTTTTAAAAATTTTTGGCTCTAGTAGACAAAGAAGAAAAAGCATACAATCAAGGAAAATGAATGCTATTTTACTTAATTATTTTTTGGTTGTTATTTCTTGTAGATCACGGCCACGAAAAATTTCCTCCCCGACTGGTTCAAAGGATTTACAGATGGTCAACATTTCCTTGCGAGTTCTTTCAAGGCCTGACTCACAGGAATTACCCACAATGTATAGACAGCTGGGATTAGATTATGATGAGAAAGTGCTGCCTTCCATCTGTAATGAAGTTTTAAAGTCAGTTGTCGCCAAATTCAATGCATCTCAACTCATCACACAGCGTCAACAGGTACTTAGCCATTTTATTAAATTGAGGGAAGCACAATTTATGAAAGCTCTACTCCATGTTGTCAGTATTCCTGTCTTCATTAATTAACAAAATCCATCTAAAAAAAACTAATCCTAAGTAAGTTAGTTTAATACACTCAGTCTGTTGCGCAAGTTGCAGAATCCTTTGCTAGCTAAGTAGAAAATAAAAAGCTCTGCACCAATTCCAATTGTATACCTTACCAATAGCAAACCATGGTACTTATATGGTATCTTCCTTGGTGCTTCTCAAAGGGTTATATGAAATGCAATCTTTTTCTGGGTTTTTTTTTTTTTCTTCTTTTCTTTTTTTTTTCAAATTAAAAACGTGAATATTTATCACCTTGGCCATCCTTCTCAATTCTTACTTATCAACAGCGTAAGTCCGCAATCACATATCTCGTTTCCGGTGTCTGAAAATCTCCGCCTCTATGTTATTTTTTTAAAAGAGAACAAATTGACATCATTCCTTGAAGTTTTTGCAGAATTTTCTTTGCACAGAAAAGAAAAATCGCAGCAGTCATAAAGAATTGCCGTTGAGTAGTTTTCTGTTTAAAAAACAAAGTATGACAGGAAGTCTGCGATGTCGCAAACCGTGATTGCAGACCTACACCGTCGTTGTGTACAATATTCCACCATCTAATCATGGGCCTACGTTTAATATTAATAGTGCATTATCTCAGTAAGTGCAATTTATTTGTGAGTCCTAAGAATGTTTATCTCAAAATTTCAGGTTTCCTTATTAGTCAGGAGAGAATTAATTGAAAGAGCTAGAGACTTCAATATCATCCTTGATGACGTGTCCATCACTGAGCTTAGCTTCGGAAAGGAATACACAGCTGCAGTTGAAGCCAAACAAGTAAGTTTTCTTACAATTTTATAAATCTCTCCTCACTGCAGGTAATAATGGGTTTGGTTTTTTTTTTTTTTTTTTTTAAATTCGTGTGCGTATAGGAATGAGAGTGAGAATGGCTTTAAAGTCACACAATTCAGAAGCTGGGTACGAGAAGGACTTTTCTCCAATGTAAGCACCCTAGAATCCCCGTGGCTAATTTATGTCTTTAGAGGAGAATCTAATGGGTTATCTCTCTGGAATTTTCTCTGTATCCATGAATATTCCAGAATGAAAGTAATATTTTCTACAAATTTCAATGAAATGCATGCACTATATTCTCTGCAATTGATGAATTAAGTATTAGCAGAGATTCTGAAATACGGCTACCAAAAAGTGCCCTTTTCGCACCCAGTGCCTCAGTTATACTGTAACTTGACAAATATAATTTGTATCAAATGAATGGAAGTTATTTATCACCTCCAAACTTATGCCAAATATATTGACCAGTGAAGGAGAATTATCTTGATTGCGGTAATCCCACTCTTGCTTTATTTTTTCAAGAGAGAACAGATCAGTGTTCCAATACCTAATTTTAAGACCAGTTAGATAGTAAAAGAAGATCATGCAAAGTTGCAAACTTTCAGGAATGTAAACTTGACCATGATACATGTTTTTCTAATTTCACCTTCAACGCTTCATCCATTCCCATACATAACTTTTTTTTTGACACCTCTGACGATAAGCATCATGAGTCCTTCATTTGCAGTTCCATGCTGAGTAAAAAAAAATCATCAACCATGTAAATTTACACCCATTGTAATTTATGTAATCCTGCTTATCTGTGAGCCGCAGTCCTCCTAATTTTTGCTTTAATAATTTCTTTTCGGAAGTTCTAATTTTGTTTTTTTTTTTGTTTTTGTAGGTTGCGCAACAAGAGGCTCAACGAGCTGTGTTCGTTGTTGAGAGAGCCAAGCAAGAGCGACAACAAAAAATCCTGCAAGCCGAGGGAGAAGCTGAAGCTGCAAAAATGATATCCTTTTTAACAAATTAAGATCATAATAATCTGACTCCGCCACATCGGGTATCGCACACCCATAAAATATCGCTGAAATTCAGTGGTTTTTGAATTGAAAGAAGTATCAGAAACTGAATTCTCTCCTCTAAGATTAATTAAATTTTGCAGATTAAAATATTAATATAGGAAACTCAGATTTCTCTATGTTTCACCACTTGTCCGAGAAGTATGGTAAAAATAAAATGAAAGTGAATATAATTTCTATCGAATTAACAGGTACTTATGGGCCTGATAATATTCTGAAAAATATATTATTGAGCTTCTTCGAAGGGTTCTTTTCTTCTTTTTTTTTTGTTCTAGGTGGCGGTAACCGTCCCGGCCCAATCCTAAAAAACTCCCCCTAAAAAGTTGACAACGGCGGGCGGCTGCTGCCTAACTATTAATGCTTACATTAGTACAAAGTAGCTGTTGTTCAGTTGGTTCCATCTACCCTCCAATATTTTTTTCATTTCTTTCAAGTTCATTAGTTATTTTTCCATTAGAAATCAACGCTAACATTTAAGACTTCTAATTTTTTTTTAGTTTTGTTTTTCATTTTCATTGGTATACCCTTGACTGATCTGTTCACTTAGGAGAGGCTGTAGGAAGAAACCCAGGTTACCTGAAATTGAGAAAAATTAGAGCAGCGCAAGCTATTGCTAGAACTGTGAGTATTTTTGCATCAGCATTTTTTCTATTTTCAGTGATCACATTAACTTACATCAAAATGAAAAATTTTCTCAAGATCAAACCGAAATGGTCTCAAGGGAGACTGCTTGAGGTATAAAGCAAATAAAACAGGCCAGCGAAGAATCAAAATCTCTTTGATCCCCAATCAGATGTTGCAAAATCTCTACTAGACTATTCATGTAAAAAACGCTGAAAAAGACGCTTTGCAGCACTGCTTTTCTCAAAATCAGCGCACAAAAAGTTTAATTTTAAAAGATCATCATTCTCAGATGGTTGTAAAGGATATCTCATTATGTAGCAACAAAATTCTGCTGAATTGGAATTCTTGGGGTTTTTTTGCAGGGTCTTTTGGATAAACCTACAATAAATATGAGTGCATCTATGCCGAAACAAACATTCGTTTAAAAATTATATTTTTATTCCCAAGTTGTATTTAATCCAAGATAACTATGATCAGCTCAGAGGGGAAAAAAAATTGATTTTCTGATTCTTTTGGTCGAGAATTGATTTTGAAAACTTTTCTCATAGCTAAATTTAATGTGCTTACTAAGACTGAAACTAATTTTTCTTTCCCTCCAGATTGCCAACTCACCAGCTAACAAAGTTTACCTCAACGGTTCCAGTTTAATGTTGAATATCAGTGATGCAGAGTTTGATGCAGCCAGTGAGAAATTGAAAGGTAAGTTTTGCCCTTAATTTTCAAAATAATTGCAATTTTCTTCTTCATTTTTGCGGCAATACTACATGGATTCAATGGAACAAGGACTATCATTTGCTTATTGAAATTTCGGTCTCTTTGGTGAAAAGCTTCTATATAATTGCAAGATAACACCTTTTGACTTAAAAATTTAATGTCTTTAACCATTCTCTCATAGCTTAAAATGAACCAATTTTAATAAATGGCTAGAAACTCTCTGAACTCCTCCAATCGCAGAATTTCAGTTTAGGACTACAACCAGAAGTTCAGTGTTCCGTTTCTTCTGACTGTAGCAAAATATCACGTTGGAATCATCAAAATTGAAATTTTAGCCCTGAAATATATATGAGAGAAGGAGCAGTAATTAAAAAGCTCAACAATAGTTTCGTAACGACGATAGATTCTTACTGTGTTGTCTGAATTTTTAACAGGAAAAAAGTGAAGCCTTGATTCCCCGAAAAATTTTCTTCGTTTAGAAAAGAGCAAAACATTTTACTCAACAGTGGATCCTCAATAAAATATTCAACCGGTATGATGCTCTTTATTCAGACCTGTGTCTTCGCTTGATCTTGTTTTGTCCCATAATGCTAATCAGGGAGCTAGAATGCTGTGATTTCATTCCAGATTTTGGTCTCTTTTTTTCAACTAAATGAGTGATTAAGTAGATCCTTTCGGTTTAGATCGTAAATCATTTCTAACGCTCCTCACCCTTTAATGCTCCCTAATGTCTCGTTGGACGCCCGTTCAAAAATTAACTAAAGCCAGCTCTAAATACTCCACCATTCTCCTGATTTCCCAGTCACTAGATCTATTGAAGTTGCCCTGAAAAAGTTGTTAAACTAACTGGATGAATAGACAGGTTGTTCTAGATAATCCATTAAATAAGGTGTTGTGGTTTTGAAACCAAGAAGAAAAGGAAAAACCCAGTAGTCGATTTGTTCAAAATGTGGTAAAACTACGCTAAAAATTTTGTTTTGCTGTGCTGTAATCTTATCTGTCTCTATAATTATATGTACGATAGCAATGATTCTCACCCACCTCCAATTAAAAATAATTTTTGGACGATCTCAAAATTCATTTGCAATTGTCTATAGCTAATGTGAGATCTGCCCTACCTATCCCGAAAAATTCATTATAATACGGTATAATGATACTTAGGCACGGAAGGAGTGTGCATCAATTTTCTTATCATGGAAAATTAAACATGGATAAAAATGGACAAAATATCGGATGCAATCACAGCATTTTTGCCAAATACAGCACTGTAGATCTCTGTTCTTTTCCATCGATTTGGCACACCATATTTGGTACTTCATTGGCAATCAATCATCCAGCCAGCATCATTCAGCAATTTACATCTGTACTTTAATTTTTGAGGTTTTCTCCGCCTGCCTCAAAGGATTATGTATCTTGTTAAACTGCATCAGCTATAGAATCCTATTTTTTTCGAAAATTTCTAGACCCAGTCCAAAATCCCTGAACTAACACCATTCAACTTAACTTATTCTTTGCATGTTTTCAAGTTAACAAACAGGGAAGTCCATCCGTTACAATTTGGCATAGCTATCTTTTGGCAGTGACTGGATCTTCAGCAAATTTTTATTGCTTTGCAGTGTCAGTTTCTTCAGTCTATTTGCACCTCTGGTATCCAGTTTCCTTGGGATTCTTTTACTTAAAGAACTGATGTTTAAGTTTTTAAGGTTGCACTCGAAATTTTTTGCAGTCCTTTGTTGATTATTTGGCACTGCTGTAAACTTCAACTGTCTTTCAGTTTGTTCATCTTTTTCCATTCCAAATCCTTCTCTGTCTCCCTTAGTGCCATTTTCATCGCACGACATCACCCCAAATGAAATTCGGTAGTAATACTTCTGACTTAGGGACGGTCCTTTTTAATTTTCATGAGTACAAGTTCTTGCGTTTGTGGTTCCTTATGGTATTTGCTCTGTTTTGTTTAAATGGTAGATTCCTAAATAGAGGCGATTAAAAATTTCTTCATTGAGAAATTCAGTTTTTTAGTCAGTGCAGTGTTTCTGCTCTGTTTCCTTCCGTTGTCTTAGTGTTGCTTTTTGCATCAAACAAAAATGTAAGATGCAGTAATTTGTGAAAACAAAGTAGTTCTTCAGAATCTTTCAATGCATACAAATTTCATGGTTTTCTGTTTAAAATTTTGGCTGAAGAAAATGATCAGTGGCGTCATGACAATGTTTAAGTCTAGGATATCTTCTCTGCTTGATTTTTAGAAGCACAAATCTTGTGTATCATTTGATTTCCACTCATTAGACCGGCAAGAAATTGTAGCAATGTAAACAATGAATTTTATGTGAATAAGATGTTTATGGTTGTAAAAATATATAGGTTCTAAACCGTTACCCGTTCTTAAGTCATTGTCAATATAGGTCTCAGAATTTTTGCTTATTTCCTCGGTAGAGAATGAACTCTACAGCCAATTCAGAATTTTAGCCTCTTTGTAGATTATCCATTTCTGCTTTTTTTAATCCATTTATATTCATACTATTGAAAAGAAGTTTTTTAGAGTGGAATCGTTCTGAATGCGAGAGTGCATTCTTCGTTAAAACAATCTGCCGGCAAGTTTTGTAGATTACAATGACATAACGTTACAGTAGAGGGTAGAGTTTGAGCTTAAAATATTATCTACACTCCTACACTGTACCTTGCTTATTCTTTAGATAATATCTCCCATTTCTGGAAGAGGCAGAAGAAATCTGCACCTCAAAAGGAATTACCTTGAGATATTCATGTCGAAGTAATATATCTTCAGAGCCTCAAAGTATTTCTGTTACTTGTGAGGATTAAATTCTTTTTTTCTCTATGTTTGCTTTAATAGTTACTCATTTCGGTTTTCATCAAATTCTTCAGAAGATTAAATTTGTTAATGGTTCTCCGGTGGGAAGTTGTACACAGTAGAACACTCTTCATGTTTAAAAAAACAATCATCTGAATTCCCTTTTCGTTGCAGGGGCAGGGTCAGGTGTTGGCTCAGTGCAATATGAAAGCGATAAAGGTGTAGCTGGTACAGCCCTCTCCGCAGCCAAACGAATTTCTCAGTAGGATCGTCAAGTTTCCTGTCTTTTAGACGCGTGACGTTCATGTCTCTTCAGTCAGTTTGCTGGGTCTTCAATTTAGAATCCAAATGTCGGTTTTTCTGCAGAAATCTCCAAAGTTGATACACCTAAAAATTTTCTCAGTTCCCCTGAAGCCTTATCACATAAAATCTGTGTGGCACGATGCTCAATTTTTGGTTTTTATTAGGCGCTATGTTTCCAGCCTGGTTCCTAACAAGTCTTCAGTCACATGTTTTTTTCTTATTCGCCCAAGACTGAGGAATATTTTCCACACTAATTTTAGCGTTTTATGTTTATTTTCCCCGTTCCTGTACATGAAACTCCCTATCATTTTACACAGGATTATTTTATGCTCTTCTTTAAATGTCTGTCCAGAAAATTCTTACCAAATCGATTTTATCACTGTCACTCTCCACTTTTAACGTATTCCACTTCATTCATCATCTTTTAATGCATCTTTGCAACTTCTCAACTATTAATCAACTTTTATTCTCCCCGAAGGTTTACTTTCTCTCCAAATAATTTTTTGTTATTTTTAAGAATGTCTGCATGTTGAATAAAAAAATCATAATCATAACTGAAATTGACCAAGTTGTCTTGATCTGAAGTGTTATTTGTGATATTGATTTTAGTTAATATAAAACAATCTTTTTCTGTCAAGTGAATCAACTTACAAAGTAAAACAGAAGATCCTTCATCTTGTCTCTTACATTTTGTTTTGACGTGAATATGAAAACTGCTTACCAATTAGATGTAAACTCTGATAAACAAGCCTCAAAGAAAACTTTGAAAGCGACCCACCAAAAATATAGTTTTTTTTCATCGCACATGTATGGTAGAAAATTAAACAAATGAGAAATGTACTCATAATATTAGAGATTATCGTTTTTAATTTATGAATTTTAGTTAGCTTTCTTTATCATTGAGACACGTATTCTAGAATGATTGTTCTTTCAGTGTGAACAAAATTTCTTGCACAGAGAACTATTACGAACATTTTACAAGTTTCAAGGATGTGTTGCATCGAGCTGCAATGATGTTTTTTAGCCATTTGTGTCTTTTTTTCCCCATTTTTAACACTCATAGATATTTTACCCAGTTTCAAGAGTACTTTTAAGGCCTTACGCTTAATATGTTTTTTAATCTTGTTTTCAGTCAACTGAATTTCTGGTAGTGGAAAAACCAAACCAATCCCGGAAGCTTTGTAGGAGTGAATTTGAAATCTGAGTTTCTACAGTTGGAGCCTAGTTACTTTTCTATTTTTAAGTATTTTATGTAATTATCTTGATTTTGCATTTGTTTTCTGCCGGTTATGTTTTTGTAAGTGCAGTTTATTTTGTATAATAAAATATTTAATGAGCCTATCTCTTTTTAAATCATGATTTGCATAATTTCATTACCTTCTCAAATCTTCCTCGTTTTGATCATTTCCAAAAGGGCAGCAAAATCTGGATGTAAATTAATGCTTAGGATTCTTTGAAAAATATAAAAACTGCTAAAAATCGTTTGCACTTAAAACCCTGAAAATGCAAAAAAAAAAAAAAACTTGAAAACAGCCATGCTCAATTTCATTATTTTTCTTTTATTTTTGTCAGATTTTTTTGTTCTAGAAATTTAAATTATTGAAAATGCAAGTTAAGTATATGTAAGAGGGCCTCTTAAAACGTTTCCAAGACAAAAATCAAATCCATTTGCCTTAGGATATTTTATCAATGTATCCTCACGTATTTTAGTGAAATTATTATCACATTGTTTGAAACTTGTCAGTTAAGTATTAACAATGACAGTTGGAAGTCTACGGAAAGCCAGTTTTCTGAACCCATTCTATACCAAAATCACTGGTACCTCTGCACACCTGAACGAAAATCTTTAAATAATCAAGAGTACCTACACCATTCCCCCACAAGATTTTCTCTGGCAAAGGTGTTCAGTCATTTTTTTTAGCTTTGTCAGAACTTGTATGTATCCTATGAAGGAGGACAGTGACCCATTTGCTAATCAGTATTTTATGGGAACATCCCAACCCCTGCAATATTATCCTGAATACCCACTGACTAGCCATATTCCTGGCCATGTTATTACTTATCCCCAAACAGCATTGGCAAAAATATTACACATTATTGCAAGCATTGCTCACAAGAAATTGAAGTATTCAAATCTTTTTTGAAGCTCCTTCAAAATTTCCAAAATCACTATGTAAGAAGTGCAAAGAAGAAGTGTAGAAGAAGTGCAATTAAAGATGATATTTGTATCCCCAGCCCCACCTTCCTTCAGTGCCTTAACACACTTAATAGCACAGGTTGCAATTTTGCAAAATGATTACTACCGTATCGGAGTGTTGTGCATGTTGCCTAGTCACTAATTGAAGGAGCTACTCTAATTGATAAATATTGCAATAAAATTGAAAAAAAGCATCAACTGCCTCTCCATTCCTTACACATGGAACTCATTTACTGATTGTTTAAAATCGGTATTCATTGACCGAATGATGCAAAAATATTGCATCATATTGCCAAATTATCTCAATATTTTCGTTGAACTGTGTTTTTTTAGGACTGTGAGAGCATCATCAGATTTTGACTTGGTAACATTGTAACAATTTTGCACACTGCCTTCAGCGTCTATCTGTGCACTGATGCAACTTAATCAATCGGAACATATAAAGCAATATTATGGCAATATTACCTAGTGTTATTTCTACTACCCTTAGCAATACTGTGACAATACTGCCGCAATATTGCTTCCCTAGAAGTCATGACGCATGAAGGCCAGACTACCAGGCTTTTTTCTTGTTTTCGATCGAAATATTTGTAGTTAAAGTAACTAAGTAATTCATTGACTCGAGGTAAGTAGGTAGGTGTCATGCCATTTCAAAAGCGAAATCCACAACGTGATGTGCGATCACGCATTTGCCGGCTTTTGAATGACAGTGTCATTTCTATCCGAAGATTGGAGAAAGCCGAAGCCGTTGCGAAGAAAAGCAATAAATTGCTTTCGCTAAGAACGCGATTATTGTCTCGGAGGGGTTCCTACTTCAGCCGTGATACATCCCGATGCCCAAGGTCAAATCTGTGAAAAGCTATTATTGAGCGGCGCCGGCGTATTGACGCCGAATTTCTTGCATTGCTCGCTATCTCGCATAGTTACCGATTCTTCCCTTGATTTCTTTCGTGTTTCAATCAGCCCTCTACAAAAACTTCGCTAATCATTTGGATGTCTAAAACACCCATCACCAACGTAGATCTGCAAAGGTTCTCGTACTTCGCGGCGGTTTTTTTGTGTGCGGCATTTTGAACCGGCCGCTTCGTGCCGCAGCATTTTATTTCTGCTCAAATGTGCTAGCCTTTGGGACAAAAATCATGGGCTCCGGGAGCAGAGAAGTTGAAGATTTGTGCCGTGTTTGTGCGAAAGACAAATCCAACATTCAGTTGTTCAGTGAGAGCGGCATGAAACACAAGCTTATCAACAAGATCAAAAAATATTTATCAATCGTGGTAAGTTAAACCTATTATCTCTTATCAGTAGCGCACATAACCTCCAAAACGCTATCGGCTATCGCTATCAGTACGAATTGTTCGGCAAGCTCATTATTCTCGTTTACGATGAAGATCTGTATTTTGCCCTTTTATTTGCGCCTATGCAGAATACTGATTGAATATTCAACTATCTTTCAACCCCGGACTCATGTCATGTGATAATTTTTGATCTCCCATGTAAGTGAGTAACCCTCTCTACTGAACTCATGGTTTTTTAACATCTCTTGTCTTTTTTCGACCCAACTCATGGATGACAGCAAAAAACTTTTAATTTCCGGCTTGAGTAGTACCTATCTCGGATTATCATCACATTACATCCATCAGAACTAGCATCCACATCGACAGAGGCTTCTCTATGATAACGATTGCTGAGTAACATTTTGTCTTTGATAGAGTTAGTTAAGAAGACCAGGCAGAAGATGTGTACGTGAGCAACCACTGCGCATCCACGACTAACATCAAATACTTATACCTAATTACAAAAAGTAGAAGGTCTAAAAACACAGTTTTATTGCAGGAAGGATGAATAAATTACGCACATGGTTTCATGAGACACAACTGTCACATTGTTAATTGTGGATTATATCGTAATCAAATTGAAAGGAACAAAAGTTGACAGTATCTAAAAGTTAACAAAATGAGAAGTACAGAGAAACAGAGATGTCACTCATCTAATGATGATCAGTTAAAATATATATTAGCCTCTATTGGTTGTGTATACTATTCATTAACAGATCGGCACCTTCCATCCAAAGTATGACAAGCGCCGTGAAACATTTCATAATTTCCGCCACCATTTTATTTTTTACAGACAAATTGTTGGTTAAATCTGTTTTAAACTTTCACCGAATTTTATCGGCAGCACCAAACTACTCAATTCAGTGAAATTTTCGGACAGCTTTGTTGAACAATTTCTCTGTAAAAAAGTAAAATATCAGCGGAAATTTTTAAATGTCGTATGGCGCTTGGGATACTTTGGCCAGAAGGTGATGAGATGATCAATGACAGCTCACTGATCAATCATTTAGCTAATTCATCAGTCTGCCTTCACCAACAGTTTGATCAATATCATTGCTTTCCTGATGCGTTGAATTAGAAGCCTAAAGTTTTTAGTTGATCTGTTTTATGACAAGATACAGCAGCACCTTATACTCGGCAATAAGCGAAAACAAAAGTTGAGCTATTAGCCAACTCTACAAATGTATGCAATGATTGTGATTCAGGCCATGCTGTAATAAAAGAACAATTTGCAAGAGGATGTTAATATATTTACAATTTCACCTCAACATGGTGGACACGCAAACGTTTCGACCAACGCTTTGGTCTTCATCAGTGCAAAGGAAAGTACAAAGATGCAAATGCAATCATTGCATATATTTGTAAAGTCGGCTAAAAGCTCAACTTCTGTTTTTGCATTATGAGTAGCCGAAAACTGAAAACTCTCGGCAATAAGTATGAACAAGTAAAAGAAAGCAATTGGATACTTCACTTTTTTCGTGCTGCGATGATAGTGCAAAGAGGGATTTCATTTCTTCTGTAAGCTCTGTTTTGTAAATTTTTCAGTTTACCATATCATCCTCATGTAGCACCAATACCTATTAGACGAAAGTTCTCTGTTGATTCGCTTACATCTCTATGTCCACAGGTTTTGGCAAACGATAAACTGCCCTTAGGCATTTGTTATGGATGTGCAAAAAAACTAGATAGCATCCACCGTTTTGTAAGAAATGCCCAGGAAGCTCAAAATAATCTCAAGGATCTCATGAAATACGAGAAGTATCATGCTCAACCAGACACCTCAGGAAGTTTGCTTCACTCCATCTTGACAAGAGTATGTATTGTTTACTCTTCCAGTCTTGATTTTGCTTTTATACCCTCTGAAACTGATTTGCCTTTTGTTCAATACTGTGTGAGATAACAAAGAATCTACTCAATAATTTTTTCAAGAGTCCAAGCTCCAACTGATAGTCTTTTGATGTCACCATGAAAGGAAAGCCAAAGCACATTAATGTTTGGAGCGATTTTGCTTAAAAAATTAGAGTAAGTAAAATTAGATTATTCAATCAGTTATAAACTGAGCAATACTTATTGTTGGTTGGAATTTTTTAGCCAACAGGCGTTAAAAATCAGCATAAAGCTGAAAATCTCCATACAGTGAATATTGAAATACCTACTGAAAATCTGAATGTAAATAGTTGTTACTAAGTAGTGTTGCACCAAACAGCGTATCTCTTCGAGGGAAAATTGGGCTCATATGAGCTTTTTCTCCCTGTATTAAGATTTTCAGCTTTATGCTGATTTTTAGCGTATGTTGGCTAAAAAATTCCAACTTACTGTCTTACGATCTGGTGTCTACCGCAATCAGTTTGTACAATACTTATTCTTGCAGAATCTTTTCAATAGATTAACGTTTTTCTCAGGCTTTTTTTTCCCACCAATCAATTTCAAAAGTTAATTATTAATATTGATTTGTCCGCAGGGAAATACTCCGGAAGAAAGGAATGGAATGAAATCGGAAAACATGGATGAGGAAGAGGAGGAAGAAGAGGAAGAGCAGCTAGAAGAGGAAGAGCAGCTAGAAGTAACAAAAATGGAAGTAGACATAGATCCGATGCTATTTCTTGTTCCGGATGAAGACTCCCAATCTGATGATAAAGCAGATCTAAAAGAAACGTAAGTGTAACCTACTCATACGCAGCTTTCTCCAAAAGATTGAAAGAAATACTTTAGGGTTTGGCTAGCAACTGATGACATTATTATACTGATGTTACTAACCTTGGTTACTATTTTAAAAAAAAGTGGAGGCTGACCGTCTCGAAAATCTTATTATTAAGTAATTTTCTCCAAAAAATGCTCAGTAAATTGATTCGCAGCTCAAGAAAGCTTTTTTCAGCTGCCCATTCTGTTTTTAAACCGGATTTTTCTGTTATCGGAAAACACATTCTAGAGCTAGCATGTTTGTTTCTGTCCATCAAATGAACTGAACAGTCATGTCATTATCATTGTGCTTCTCCAGAATCTGGGTACAAATTAGACGTATTTTTATTTCAAAATCTGAAAATATTTTATAGGCAAGGCACCTCTCCGACACATTTCCCTCTGAAGCAAAGTAAGGACTGAGTTGCGCACCTTGAATAATTATTTCACGCACGGACTGAAAACATTAATTTATTGATCGGAGAAATTAAAAGTGGAAATCTCACAACTGCTGTTTATAAAGTAATTGCATCTTAGATTAGTGGCAAAGAATGAATCAGAGATATCACTGATTGCTCCTATCAATAATAGGTTAAAAGCAAAGGCTTCCAGAGCAGTCCTAGAACACTGTTCTATGATTGGTGAAACTTCCGGAAAATTACTTTATTTTATTTTTCTTGTCTCATGTTGTAGCTTCATGTTTCATTTTAAAACTAATGGTTTCAGTTCATCTCATTTAAACAATAATGTGAACGAGATGTATGAGAAACAGGAGCGCGTCAAGCCATATCGATGTTCAATATGCCCTCGAGGTTTCAATACAGAGATTGGTTTGCAGAATCATTTGTGGAGCCATTTACCAACAGCCAACAGAGTCCTCACCAAAACAAAATTTCAAAGTTTGTAAGTATCCATAAGTACCTTGGTATGTTTAGCAAATGGTTACAACCAGGCACCAACATATAAACCTCAAATGAATTGAAAAAGTAAAGTGAGGGTAACACATTTTTATGAGAAACTACTAAATTGGAAGCAAGACTAGGAAGCTATCATATAAATCAGAAATGGGTCAATGCTATTCTCACAACTTTTTGCGATATAATAGAAAGAATGTCTACTGCTTCATCTACACAGGCAAACTGATTAGAAACTAGTTTAGCGAAGCAGAAAGTTAAGTCACTCTGTGACTGTATGCCAGTTAGCCTTGAATTTGTTTGAGCAGAGGAACAGAATTTTGTGTGTGCAGGAGAAGCAACTAGGGCTTAAACAATCAGAAATTTTTTGCCCTGTTAACTTGTTGTCTTCCATGCAGATTGTTTTAACTGGGGTGCGGTTGCTTGCGTTGCGAGGCTCCTGTAAGGCCGGTGGTAATCTGAACATATAACCTGGCGGTTCACAAGCTGCATGGGCCCAGCAAAGGAATGCTTTACTGAACTTTTTTGTTCATTTTTTAAGGGGAATAAAACGCTGTGGCGTGGGGAAAATATGTACCAAAATACTTTGGTAGGCACCATGTTAAAGGCCCAGGGATTTCATGAAACAAATGGAATTCGTCATAAACATTAGAGCAAAGATTTTTTAATCAAATCAATGGAGGACCTAACATTCAATTTCAAAATTGACAACAGATATGGTACCTCTTCTTTTTTGCATGCAGGTAATTTTTTTTGGAAAAAGTCGAAAGAATTTTTGTCTCTACAGTAGTCAAAAACCTGGAAAATTCAGGAATTTCTTTCACCTAAATTCTGTAGATACTCTGTGAAGTAGTTTAATAAAATTATATAGGAACTCAAAAGGTGTATAGAGTTATTATTTGTAACCATTCAAAAGAAAAGGCATTTTAATATACTTGAGGGAGAAATTCTCTTCAAATTGAGGAAGAAGTCTAAATGTAAGTTTTCAACAAATACTCGCTTTAATATCTGTAAGAATGCTGCACAAGCAGTTTAGACCATTTTATTTTTGTTTTTTTCTTTCCTTTCTGTAATGTAATAGCTCGTTCTTCACCAGTTATGTTCCTATCCTTGCTTATGACTAAATTACTCTTTGTTTCTTTTAACTTTAGGAAAGACAAAGGCTGTGTTTACTCATCAAATGGAGTTTTGCGCACAGCCTCAGTGGCAGAACCGGTAATAAACAATAGTGGACCATTAACTTGTCCTGTTTGTGGGAAGCTGATCTCTACTAAAGGTAACCTGAAGGTTCATCTAGAAACACATCGGCCCAAAGGGAGATATGACTGTGATATTTGTGGTAGAATGTAAGTGTCAATCTGTTACCTCATTGTAAAAATCTTCTATTTTTAAAGATTTCTGGAGAAAGGAATTTTCTCTTTCGTTAGAATCATATAATTACTTTTTGAGTTTAACTGACAATAAACTTTAACTTACCATCAAACTGAATATTTTGGAAAATTACAGGAGAGCCAAGAAATTTGACATCGATTTTAATTTTAATGATAACCAAATGCTTCCTATTTTTGTCCCCATTTTATTCTACGACTCCGGGAATTCCACAAGGACGGATGGCAACAACAACAACGACAACGACGACGAAGATAACAGCGGAATCGATTGTGTGCCCATATCCAAACAAGAAGGATTCAGGGCTTTTGAAACGTTGAAGGCATTCCTGTGTCAGGAGTCAAAAGTGGACTCCGCCGTTTTGAGTCAAATAACAGAGATTGAAAAATATTTAATGACGACGACTGTCGTTGCCCGCCAAAAACAGTCAAAACTTGACACCTTTGTTCGAAGATTGTGATTTTACTGTGCTGTACATTAAGTGTAATACAGCTAATTTGTTTCGTTTGTAAATATCGTGTTTTACAATTTTCTTCCTGCAAATTTTCTGCAAAATATCCTCATAGTTTAAGAGGGAGGGGGGGTGTACACGAAACTGGAAAAACCCAAACATTTCAAGAAAACATCGTGGCCTAAAATCGGGTTTTTCACGGTTTTCGATGTAACGAATTTTTTTGCCGGTCCCCAGAAATTCGTTATATCGAAGTATTACTGTAGTGTGTTGCCGAAAACTTTTTCGTAGTTCAAGTTTATCAACACTTCGTATCAAGATGAGAAATCCCACCTCCTGCAAACGGTTAAAAAATGATCCTCACTTCTGTTGAAAGCTTTTCTCCATCAACCTACTGAATTTTTGTTATGTCTTGTTTCAGTTTTAAAACACCATCAAATCTCAGTCGACACAAGGAATACCATGAATATGTGCAGTTTCCTTGCAAAGTCTGTGGTCGTGTTTATCCAACAAACAGTACTTTAAGGGCACATAGTATCACGCATAGTAATCTAAGGCCGCATAAATGTCCTCTTTGTGATAAAACATTCAAACGAAATCAGGATTTGAAAGTAAGTCCTTCCTCAAAAAATCTCAATCAGGTATCAGTTGTATGGAGTATATCCTTAACATCAACTAGAGTCGAAGTAAGAGTATTTAAAAATTTCGCAAAGATGATGACAAGTCTTATCTCTTTGATTGCATATTAAGACGGGGTGCATTTTCCATTTTTGTGCTAAGTCCAGTGGAAAATCAAGTTTAAAATGGAAAATATGAAATGTAGTTTTTCCATATTCCAATAAAAAAATACATTGATGAACCAGCCAAAAATAACTTAATAAACTGAGTAATTTTGAAATTCACCCAAGTTTTCCAATGCTATCAAATGACCCATGCTCTCTAAATACATCCTCCAGTACAGGCATAGAGACCCTGCAAGCGAAACTGTTCAAGTGGAAGAGTAATTGTTGCTGTGGCTGTGAAACTAATCCACCTCTTTTATTGATTTCAAGTATTGTGAAACACCTTTTCTTTGAATTCTTGACCCCCCCCCCCCCTCCAGCACAAACCTTGACCCTATTGTGAATCGCACAGTACAACAACAGGCAAATAATGTATCAATCCTCATCCCCACCATTTCCATAGAATTTCTTACATGTCCGTAACAACACAGTTGCGCCCGAAATGTCCTAAACTTTTACCCCAAAAAATGATGCAATTTTTTTAAACTTTAGATCTAAGTTTAAAGTTGAATTTCAACCCACTCCTCCCTTTATTTACTCCATGTGTTGCTTGAACGCTGCTCTTGTTATCTTTGCCATCAGCCTATTTTATAACTTAATTATTTCTGTTCTGTAATTTTTAGTTTCACATCAACCAACACACTGGAGCGCGCCCTTATCAGTGCCCATACTGTCCCAAGGCCTTCGCCAGCTCCGGAAACTGTTTTTCGCACCGCAAGCGAATGCATTCCGAGGAAGTTGAAAGGGATCGTGAGTTAGCTGGAGGTGAATCTGAGTGAAGTACATAGTTGCTCACCATTTTGTGCTTTTGCATTGTCTCATTATGATATTTAAACGTACCATGATTTACAGAAACTCTTTGGCTGTATTTACACCATTTTCTTCGTTGAAGAGCTGAATCTTTTGTTATACTTTCGAACCTTCTCTCAATCGTCAATGGTGAAGAGTTGTTTGCCATTTTAATGATCTAGACTGTACTGTGCAAACATACCAAGTCCAAAGTAGCAAAAGTAAACCAGTTCTTAGGAATGTCCATGACTTTATCATTGTTTGTTATCACTTTATACTTTTCTGACCATAAGGTTCCTCAAGCTATTTTTTTATGTCATTTCAAGTCTTATTTCGTCTACTCAACAATTTAATTTTTCTATTAGTATTATATTCTGTATTAAAATGAGCTTTCCATAATATGACTGATAGCGATATTTCCGTCAAGTCAAGGGAAGGATCGAAGATATTGTTTTATCAAGGTACCTGTATGACCGGAAAAATAGGGAAAAGCAAGTGAAAGAATTTGACCCAAAACTCAGGGATTTCTGCAAGAAACTGAAATTTTTACCCTCAGTCTAATTTTTCCCAATCACATACATTCTTACAACTGGAATGACTATTTCAGAAAAATACAACTTTAAAAATAAGAAATCTGAGAGCTTAGAGATTAATTTTGAAGGTGTAAACCATCAAAAATTGCCACTTTTTTATTCAGGTGAGTAGATTTATCGATCAAGAAAATCTGGTAATTTCTTTCATCTCAGTCTGAAAAACCCAGAAACGTCTTGAAATTTTTCTCTTGGAAGCCTGTAAGTACCCTGACTTAAAATAACTTGGTAAAATATCAACTCCTCCGGCATTAGTCTAGTAATGGTCATGATAGAGTAACCTCAATCTCTCTTAATGGTATTATTGTACTGAGTAGTAATAAAATGTTTTTAAGAAAAAAACTGGTGTCAAAATAGTCAAAATTGTATAGATTCTAAGTCAAGATTCTACTTATTATTTTAATGTTAGGAATGATCTCCATGATTTACAATTTAATTGTATCTCAGTCACCAGTATGTTATGAAGTAATTGTAATATTCCTGAAAACTAGTCAAGTTTTATCTTTCAACAGCTATGTCATATTTTCGTTTTTATTAAAATAAATTTTTGACGGATCACTACTTTGTTGATGCAATGTTTTTTCGTCATGAAAGTAATTTCTTCACTAAATAGTTTCATTAGTGGAAGTTAATTGTTTTTTTTTTCTTGAATATATATATACCTTTATATATTCTGACTCAATTATTGTTCTCAGTTTGTTTTCTCTCTCTCACTTGCTCTATCTTTCAAACGCTCAATATTTTTGTCTATATCAGGCGCTTGAAGAGAACTGCTAGTCCTTGCCGTCTTCGTTCTTCAACAAGAAAAGAAAAGAAAAATCAAAAACAAATATCCTAGATTCCCATACATAGTTTAAAGTTTTTATTTTTCAGAAAAATGTTATACTTGCGTGTATATTGTGTGACCTATTCTAAGAAGCAGTAACTATTATTTTATTTGCTTTTTTGTCTGCTTAATAGAAAGTGTAAAGTTTTATTTTGTGGTTATCCCCTGTTTGTTTTGTCGTTTCATTGTGATTGCTCCGCCACTTTGATGCTTCACGATCAAAGAGATCCATAATTTCTAAACCATTTATGTACGTGTCTGTATATCTAGTATGTATTTTTATATCCACAAGCTTATCCATAGATAAGAACACATACGTGTAGTGCTTTATTTTTTTAAATGTTGAAGGGTAACATATGATATAGGGTGTTCACTCTATTTTACAATTTTTTCTAAATTTAATTGGAGCTGAGAGTTAGTTTCGAGCATGAAACAATGGGGACCCATACTGCTGAAGCTCAATATTTGTCTAATTTTCATGGAACTTGTTTAATCACCAATTTCTCAAAGACACCTACTGATGAAATATCTCTTAATCCGGTTCTAATCATGATTTATCAGGCTAAAAATCAAAAGTAGGTAACTTCTCCAATTTTTGCAGAGAGTTTTTTTTTAACCGCATTAAATGACCTGATGACCCATCTCTAACTATAGGTTGTGAACATAAGATGGTGCGTAAGTCACAAATGAATGTGGTGACACTAGAAAAAAAACTTACCTACCTGACAGTTCTGCAAATTTATTTTCACATCTTCTCATGATACAAGAATGCATATTGTTCTCAGTTTGTTTAGTTCAGCATCATCTTCGTTTGACTCTCTAAATATATTCTCCAAGAATTTCCAAGGGAAGTATATGTAAATTTCCATCTGTTACAAATGGAGTAGAAGCTGAAGTTCTAAAGCATCACCATGGAGATTAATGTTTACGTAGTTTCAACACCAAGATGTTGTTTTAAGAATACTGACTTCAACAGAGAGTGAATCAAGTTAAAGTTAAGAGTGGAAACTATTGTAATACTTAGTGAAGGGAAAAGGAATTTTTAAAATTTATAGAAAGCATCGGAGATACAGGCAAGGATCTAAAAAAATCTCCTATCAATAGGAGCTCAAAATTGTAATATTATTTTACTCCGTAGATTTTTTCCCCTAAAAGGATTTAATTCTGGAGTTTGAACTGTCATCTTCTAAAATTCGATGCAGGATTCCTATGATTGTCCATATATAATTCACCTGTAATAGAAAATTCCATTATATCCCAGGCTGTTACTTTTAGGCACCTTTGAAATACCTATAACTTGTAATGTTGAGACTGAACTTTGTAGGTGGTTTGTAAAACCTTAATAACAAAATAAAACTTCCTTTTACAGTACCTAATTACTTTTTATTTATTTTTGTCAGTATCCATACTTTTTGCCCTACAGTTATTTTTTTGTTTTTATTAAAAATTTAAATAGTTCCAATGGTCAGAATTGCACTAATAGAACGGTCTTTGAATCAACATGTCTACCAGATTATCATTGCATAGTTTCGATTGCCCATTCCTGAAAAGAGAATCGGAGATGAGATGAGGCTATATTTTTCGTGTGAAATCAATCGAAAAAGACATCACATGATCTCTAATGCTGTGGACTTTGATACAACAGACAGTTCACAGAGCATAATGTAATGACTGGAAGATGCAACTTACAAGAATATCGACTCCTTCGAGTGATTCCTCAAGAAACTAGAAATCGACGGTGAAAGTCGGCAATCACATAACTCGTTTGCGGTGTCTGAAAATCTCCGCCTCTACGTCATTTTTTTAAAGAAGAGCAAATTGACATTATTTCTTGAAGTTTTTGCAGAATTTTCTTCGCATTGAGAAGAAAAATCATGACAGTTTTAAAGAATTGCCGTTGAGTAGTTTTCCATTTAAAAAATAAAGTATGACAGGAAGTCTGCGAAGTTGCAAACCGAGTTATGTGATTGCCGACTTGCACCGTCGAAATGTTCTTACCTATCTAATTTTATTGATGATCATAAATCATGCTTTTTTTCTATAAATTATAGAAGTCTCATTGGAGATGAAATCGTACCTTTTAAGTAAATAACTCACGATCAACTCCCCTCCCCCCTAACATTTTATGCGACATAGATACCTGTCATTTAACATGTGGCATTCCACTCCTCTGAACCCCACTCCTCCTGCTGGAGAACTCCACCCTGAGATACTCCTTCATGGACTGTAGGGCAAAAACAAATCACTGTTGTCTTAACAAATAAGTAAAAGAAATTCTTAAATATGATGATGAGGGGTAACTGACAATTTCCTTTTTTTCCAATCACTTTCTTTGTTATTCCTACAAAAAGGACACAACAGACATGCATGTACACACAATTTAAAACTAAAGATAGCTTCAAACTCTGATATAATCATTATTTCTACTAATGATGAAAAGAAGAAACCATCGAACAAATTTTTACCGAAAAACTACAGATTATGCAGAAAATACAAATAGTAATGCGTGATAAACACATTAGGAACCACTTCAACTTTAATTGAAAAATTAGTAATGATCTGATGAAGAATTTTGATAAAACAAAGCAATTTCAGCCATTCACGCCCACACTCTCTTTGCTTATTGTTGGGCCTTGCATGAGATTTACAATTTACCTACCTGAAAACTGTTACAACCTGAGCAGAAACAGCGCGAAGAGCTGCGAAAATTATAATATTCTAGAAGCAGGAAAATCCAGCCGTCAGTTTTTTATTTTTTCCTCGAATTTGAACGGGAAGAAAAAGGCGAGGTCAAATTCTGCGGACTTCGGGAGACGGGCCCGTCATTTTAAATTTTCCCGGGTAACCTTGAAAACTCCCTTTCGCGCGTGCGCAGAGAGAAAGAGAGCGCTAGTAGTGAGTGGTGGTAAGGAGAAACTCGAAAGCACGAAAGCTCTGTGTTTTGTCCATTATCAGCGATTTTGTAATCAAGCAAGACGGAGTAAGCGAAAGTTTCACCCTACTTATCGGTCAGTGAACAACAAAATTCCGTGTTGATATTGTGTCTCCCGAACGTGCTCTCTCTATGAACTCATTGTTACTCTAAAAATTATGTGAGATTTTCAGGTGCGCGGAACCAATTTTGTAGTGTTCCGTATCTTTTTTCTCTCCTCGTAAAATCGTGCTTTTTTCGAAAAAAGAAAAACTGAAGGACGAAGTGTAGGTTATGTATCTCACGTGATTTTGTAGATTACCTTTTAAATTCTGTAGTTTCTCAAAATCTCTCTCCAAAGTGATGTGTGAAATCTCTTTTCGTGCTGAGGATTTTAATAGATTTCTGTGACTCAGTGTTATGCCTCCCAATTTCTGGTGCTAACTGTTTACCTACCCTCATCTGGTTTAATCACCTTATCAACAAGTCTCCTCTCTCATATTTTGTGTCGCACACAACTAATTCTTCAAGTCACTTGTGCTTCTGACCTAATTTAAATTAATAAGTTTTCATCAATGAGCAACATGGAAAACGCAGTAGAACCTCCGAAGCAAAGCAGGAAAACCCACAACGGCATCGTTCAGCCACTATTAACTGGTACGTAAAATCCATTGCGCTCGAGCAGTAATCTCAATTCTGCATTTTGTTTTATTGTTTCATTTCTTTGCTTCATCCGTTATTAAGAAGAAGGGTTAGGAGGCTGGTGATGTTTGTTGCATCATTTCGATTGTTTATACTGCGGAGAAACAGGTGTGGATTGTATGAAGGATGGCATTAATCTATATTCAAAAGATTGTTTCTTTAATTCAAATTTTCATGATTTTGTCTGTGATGTTCATAGTTAGAGGTATTCAGTGCAAAGGATTGTGTATTATGAAATTGATGATGTAATTTCATGAAGGTTGGGCTCAGATGCCCTAGACTGCCTTAGTGACAAAGAAATTTGTTTATTAGTAAGCAGACATTTCCTTCAAACTCGCCAAATTGTGCAGCCTGGAATCTGTTCAACACCTTAGTTTCCCCATTCTCGGGTGAAGAAATTCCCTCTTGGTCACTTTATCCCAAGTTTCATTTCGAAGAGATTCTGTGGGTAGGAATTAAAAATTCCTGATGGAAAAGTTGGTAGTGACTCCGAAGACTCTGAATCTTTACCTCTGTTGCCCATTTCCAAGCATGCCCAATATGTTTTAAGTTTATTTTTTCTCTATGTTAGCAAATCAACTCTAGCTAGTACTGTGGTAGCACAAATATTGCACTTTAATGTTGACAAACTAAATTCTTCCAAATCTTACTCCCGCTTTTGGTGGTAAACACTTCTACGTTCCCAGGATATCCCCAAAAGTTTCGTTTGCAGCTTCAAGAAAATTAGTTGAAATTACTCTTTTTGAATTGAATTATTTTTGTAGGAGGAAGTAAGAAAATATTGAATTTTCTGAGAAAGAAACCGGACAATGTTGCAAAGCGTTTATTTAATGTGATGTGTTATTGCGTCAGCTTTCAACAAAATTTTCTACAAATCCATTTATAATTTTTTCCCTCCATAGTTTATTCCGGAAGTCAGGCCACAGGCTCGATTTTATCTTAGCACTATCAAACTGCTCTGACCCCACTGTCATCCGTTTTGCATTAATCTTCGGTTTCAGATGATTTCTTCTCTTCTCAGTTGAATGAACTGCAAATTGTCGGAAAGTTCGAAACTACTCAAAATTTCAGCAAACGTGATTTTCCTCATTTTCTGGACAAATTAAGAAATTTGTGGAATTTTTATAATTTTTCAAAAACCAAGCGAGATTTCCAAGTTAGCAACTTCCTATCTTTTTGCGGCCACCTTTACCTCTCTGAAAAGATCCTTGATTAAATATAGCACCATTAAAAAAAAGCACCAGGGCCGGATTAAAAGGGTGGCCACATGGGCATTGGCCCATGGCGGCGAATTTTGCAATTTTTTTAAATGCAGATATGAAAAAAATCGGATTAGGAAAAAAAATTACCAACGAGAAAAGGTGACAAAATTTCTTTTTCGTGATAGTATAGTAATTGCTAATTTTGTCGTCTTGCGGTGATACAAGAGACTGCACCTTTAATTAGTCAAGTTAAGCGAGAAACCAAACACGATTTGGCCTGCGGCATGATGACCACGAGGACTTGAGATGTAAAGGAGAAGCCCTCGGAGCGGCGGTCGGCATGTAACACATATAAGCGCCTACAAGACTGCATGAATACTTCACGCATTGCGCCTAACACAATGCGGTCAGCACGAAACGCATAGCGCCTACAAGACTGCACGAATACTTCACGCATTGCGTCAAACACAGTGCGGTCAACGCGGCGCGGCGGCGGACATTAAAATTACTAAACCACATATTTGTTTGTTCTTTCATAATTTTTTCGTTCATTTCTTATAAATGGAAGGCCTTGTCCACACAGAGATAGGTTGTCTTATGCACCCCTCCCCCTCCGACACGTTCACTTGATGGTTTTTATTGATGTTTCAAAACTAATGAGATGGGGGCGGCAAAATACAGGCGGCCCATGGGCGGCATGTAGGTAAATCCGGCCCTGCTTAGCACGGCATTATTTTCGTAAACCCCTGACCTGCCGTGTTGAGGAAAAACGCCGTATGAACATTCGAGAGTTGCCAAATTTCTCCAGATAAAGCGCTCAATTTCAAGGAAAGTAATGAATATTTTTCCTTGACACTTTCAGGACCTTCAGGTGAAATTGCGAACATACTGACTCCAACTTAATATTCCAATGCAAACTGCCTGAGCTGAACACTCTCCCCACTCAGTTTCGTACTGGTACGCATTGGAGTTCAAACAATTTAATTTTGACTCTAATTTTAATGTTTGGAATTTCTTGGCTTTGTTTTCCCCGCGGAATGGTGTGGACCCAGCACCATTTCTCCAACTTGTTACTGCGAACAAAGTTCTCCAAAAAAATTAGAGGACAAATATTTATAAGTTTACGAGGAATTTCGTGTTTTATCAAATGAAATTTGGCAACACCTCATGGCTCATACGGCGTTTCTTCTCAGCACGGCAGTGTTTGAGGGCAGAGATGGAAAATTTCATGAAATTTATTCGAGTGAAATTTCATGAAATTTATGGAAACTTTTGGGGATATTTTTAGGAGGCTAAGAAATGCCTAGAAACAGTGATACTAAATTTTGAAATTTTTCTCCCCAAGCCTAAAAAATTCGCGCGTTGCAAATTTTTCGTTTAGTTTAGAGGTTAGGTTGGGGTTTTTCTCTCTAAACTCCCCTTTTTGCCCCCTCTTTGTGTCTGGCACCTTCAGTAGAGTAGCGTAATACCGCAGCATCAACAGAAAGACGATCTGCAACGCTTTCAGACCTCCAAAGGTTTAATCAATATTTCTTAAAAAAAGTAATAAATTTCAACCTTTGTAAAATTTATTCGAGCCTTATGAAATTTCATTTTCCATCTCTGACGGCAGTGTTTGAGGGTGGCTCGAATTCGGAGTGCGTGTGCGCTTCCCGCCTTGGAGGCGCAACTCCTCTCGTAACGAGGCAACTATGCCAGCAGGTCGGTGCGATTGATCAGGTCGTCATGAATGGGGGGCCAGTAGGTCGTTTGCGTAATTTTTTTCATCAGTCTGTTTACTCCTCGCGTTTCTCATCACGACTCGCGAGATGCTCACGGGGCGACAGATGTCTGCCAAGACGACGAGCTTTTACTCGCGAAATGTAGCGGGGATTTTCGCGTCGCCGCCAACTGTTTACACTCGGAGCTTTGTTCGAAACTTTCACTTCCTCCATCTTTCCGTGGAGAACGTTTTGGTCTCTTCGAGACAGAAAAACGCCATGCACTGAAAAACAAATCTCTGCGTATTTACTAAGAAAATGGTAAAATTACCAAGAATTCAGGGTTCTATTTGATCCCAGTTTTTTCTTAGTAAAATTACCATTTATGGAATTGGGAATTTTACCGAGAAATCTCGGTAAAATTATTGAACTTTCTCGGTAATTTTACTGGACCTTGGTAAAAACGCCAATATTTGTTATCGACTGTGGTAGAATTACCAAGATAAAATGGCAAAGTTACCGGGAATTGATTACCAATAAAAGTGGTATTCTTACTCGGAAAAAACAGTAAAAATACCGGTTTTTAGGTAAGCTTACAAGTCTGTCTTGGTAAAATTACCAATAATTGGTAAAAAAAGTGAGATGGTAAAGGTACCAACGGACCTTGATAAATACGCCGAGAATTTTTTTTCAGTGTGAGAATTAGTCCCAGTAAGCTATTTAAATTTGGGGGAGGGAAGGACTTTTCCTTGCCGACGAGAAGTCAATCGATCTCATGAAGAAAATACATTGAAGGCAAGGAGAAAGAATGTCATGTGCTCTCCCTGAGAGAATACATTTTTTGATAGCAAAAACATTCACCAAAGTCCAGTGATCATTCCTAGGGCACAGGAAAAAGTCTCGATCTCATGGAAAAATGCACACTGACTATAACAGGTCTGCAGGCCTCCCGACAAAATTCCCGCCTCGCCTCACGGTGAAAAGTCCAATTCCAAGACAAAACGCCCGATTTACCACACTTTTTAAAATGTTGAGGAAAAGAAAGGAAGATGAAAGAAAAAAGTCAAGGATTTTGAAATTGCCGCGCGACTCTGAATTTGCCCAACATTTGCTGCAATTCGTGGATCGCGAAATCTAGAATTTTTTCACCCCTGGATGAACACCAAGAAAAATCCTGTTCAATATTCCAATAGAAAATTCGACATCTGGTTGCTTTATGGAGGATATTCTATGGGGGAAAGCTGTTATTTCCGGCAAGTAAAATATTAGACGTGACAACGAGAGTTTCTTTCTTGCGTTGCAATTCCTGCAGTTGTCACAACCGAAAAAAATGTCATCTAAAATATATTAAAGTGACTTCTCCTGGCCTTCCAAAAATTAATCACAAGAAAGAGCAGATTACAAGATCCTGGAGGATTCTTTCGCGATTTTTATCGAATTTGTTTCTTTCTCTTCGAAGGGGAAATATTTTAACGGAGATAAATTCTCCAGGGACGAAAGTTCGACGCGTCACGTGCGTGACAGTCGTCATCGCGGCGACCTTGGCGTTACGTCGCGACGCACAATGGAGCGGGTTAAGTGGAGGGTTCGGACATGATATGGAAATTTTTAAAAACTCATAGCTCTGTTGGAACAATAAGTAAGAGGTTCAAAATTGGTTTCTTCATGGAATGTATTTCATGAAACACCCCTTAAAGTGTAAAATATAACAAAATAAACTCTAAAATTTTCAGTTTCAGTCAACAGTTTAATCCCCGACCTCTTCCAATAAAACTGATTCCATTGTGCGGCGCGGCGCTTTTCTGCGTCTAGGAAGCGCCTTGCCAGCCGCGTTTGTATTTTTATCCCGGCACAACGTATAGTTTATCAGTTGTCATCTTCAGTTCAAAGATGAAGATGACCTGAACTGCCGACCGGGGCACAGTTCGAATGCAAACGAATCGATTCCTGCCATTCTGATCGCTTCGCGCTACGGAACAGAATATAAATAAATCCGCGAGTACGAACGCTGACTAATCGAATGTTTCTCACTGCAACCGTGCGTTGCGTCAAG